GGCCCCCAGAATCACGCCCAACGCGGAGCACTCCCTGATAGGACACGAGATGGACGTGATGTTCGCCCTGCGCAGTTTCTACCTGTCTGTGCTCACCAGCGCCCCCTTTCCCGCCTTCAACTGGACGCGCACGCAGACGACGACTGGCGGGAAAATCACGGTGTACACGTCACAGGAACCCACGGCCGTGTCGGTCTACTACGCCACCACTCTATCAGACGGCAGGTCAGGGGTTATTGGTTGTTTGGGTTAGTTATACGAGAGGTCAAGAGATATTGGTAGTTTAGTGTTGCGGCAGGTCTGGGGTTATTGGTAGTTTGGTGTTAGGCCCCCCAAAGTATATTGGTAGTTTTGTTTAGTTATACGGCAGGTGAGGGGATATTGGTAGTTTTGTTAAGTTATATATGGCAGGTCAGGGGATATTTGTAGTTTGGGTTAGTTAAAGATCTATAGATAGCATTTGTATAGTGCAAATCCCCGCTCAGCAGCAAGTTCTATGAGCTACACAATCTGGACTATTACCCCAGCAGACCTGAAAGCATTCAGACACAACCTCAACTTCATGGGAAGCATACAGTGCAAGCGGCTTTTATTGGCGCTGAAACACTAACATACTGACAAGATCTTTCTCTGTCTATGGCTGGGTACTCATTCCTACCTGGGTGAAGTGAGGAAAATTCGTATAAAGTGTCTTTCCCAAGGACACAACGTCGGGCCCGCGGCTCGAACCCCGACCCCGCAACCTCACGATTCCGTTGTTGGTGGCCTAACCTCTTCTTGTTGTTATACGTCAGGGGTTATTGGTAGTTTTGTTTAGTTATATAGCAGGTCAGGGGTTATTAGTAGTTTTGTTTAGTTATACGGCGGGTCAGGGGTTATTGGTAGTTTTGCTTAGTTATGAGCTTCTTCTTCTTCTTCTTCTTCTTCTTCTTCTTCTTCTTCTTCTTCTTCTTCTTCTTCTTCTTCTTCTTCTTCTTCTTCTTGCGATATTAATTTTATTATCATCTTCCAGACGTGACTTTCGCCTGCTCGTCAAGGGCCCAGACGGGAACGCTTTCCCTCACCCCGTCCTCTGGTTCAAGGACAAAGCGCGGCGTGTGAGTGCGCACGTATACGAGGCGGAGGTCGAACGGCCCCAGGACGGGTGGCGAGCGTTCTTTGTCCAGCTCAACTACCCAGGCAGGGCCGGCACCAGTCTAGAGCTGACCACAGAGACGTGTGTCGTGCCGGACACTTTCGTCTTCCCGGATTGTCGCGGGCTGGCTTGTCGGGGCTCCCTAGTGTGAGGGGGCGGTGTGTGGGGTTATGTGTGTGTCTGATCGGGTGAGCAGGTCATATATGACGTCATATATGTGTCTGATGGAGTGAGTTAGCGATGGGTGACGTCATGTATTGAAAACAGACTGGTGTGAGCTCTAAGACGTCCTGTGTCTGATGGTGTGAGTGATTTCCATGACGTCATATCGCTATCTTAGAATAATTACAATGTTCTTTCTGCTCAGAACTGAGTTTTGAGAAATTTGACGTCAAAATATTTTAGTTTCACAACTTGTGATTTATAACATTAACATTTATATTGAACACCCTCTTCATGAAGCGTAATGTGACAATCTGCTTAAAGCAATATAATTCCTCAGCCTGCTTCAAAAGCTGAAAGACATATGTGT